GATGCCAGCTTCTTTGGCAATATGAACTCCTCTGGGACAAAAAGAAAGAAGGGGGTGAGGTGTGGCTGTCACCTAGATTACAGTTAACTCTTATGCACACTAAATTAAAGTGTACTACTTTTATATTGATTTACCAAAATTTTAAAAATTCAATTTTTTTTGTATTGGAGGAAGATATATTCAAAATATGTTTGGTGTTTGGTGTTTATGATTTGTTTCTTAGCTTTTTGAGATAATGAACCAAGAAATAAAATTTAATGAAAATTAAAAATGTCAAACAGAGCTGCAAATTATCTAAAAAGGATGTGATTGGTTCTCCTCCATCACAGTTCTCTGAGCATATGTGCTGTTGGGATGAAAAGGCAAGTAGGAAATACAAAGGACAGAAGAGGACATTATCTGGGATGCAAAGTCCAGTTTATAAATGCTTCCCTGCCTTTGAGAGGACAAGATCAAAATGTGTAAAGTTGAAAGACAAAGCAGATCTAGATTCATGGGATGGATGAACACAGACCCCAAAATAAACCCAGTTACTTACTGACCTCCTTCTAGGATTTTCTGTGCTGATTAACAGGTTCAATTATCAGCTTTCCTCCAGTTAGTCTCTATTTACAAACTAAAATATGTGATAAATTGTTTAATTTTGCAGTCGTTCATGGGTTAAATCCACCAGTCTTCTTGTCTGAGACTAAAAATACTGACACTGATCTTATCTGAGTGGGAAGAGGAGTGAAAGGGGTACCTTCTGTGATTGGTGACATCCTGCAATGGGAGCAAGAGAAAGAAATTTTTTAAAAAATTGCAGGAACAGAGCACTAAGAATGAGGAGCATGAGTGAGACCAGCCAAAAGCAGCTTTGCTCAAACACCATCCCCTTCCAAAATCCTGGCATGCTGGGATAGAGAGTAGACTTGATTTGTTCCTCCAGAGACGAAAAGGCTTCTGTTCATAGCACATAGTGAAAGCTCAGAAAATAACCTTATATAAAACCGAAAAAGTCACTTGGCCTACAGCCTTGATACATTTATTGACTAGAGACCTTGTCATCTGTGACCATAATAACAAACAGCAGAAGGTTCCATCCTCTTGTGATTATAGTAACATGAATATTGCAGTGATGTTCACACATATCTTTGCAGTGTTCTGTACACATATGTCTTCCTGACTACAAATACTCCAGGCCCCAGGGGGTGGGAAGAAAAGTGACTTTTCAGAGGGGGTGAGTCATGAATGAAAAAGAGAACCCATGCATCCTGCCCTGAAGGAGTTAAGATTGCCCCAGCATGCAGAGCTTTCTTTGCACATAGGATAAAGATACATGAGAACAGTAGGGTTTTTTTAAGAGTCAAATGAATAACTACATTTGAAAAAAAAAGACATATATTTATAAAACTGGCCTATGACAGTGGGATTCAGGATAATAGGGGCTCGTTGTGTCTCTGTATTTTCAGGGATCGGCACATACAGCGGGCAGGATGAATATGGTTAAAGACACAGGATATAATCAGATTTCTCCTACTGGTGTTAGAAGTTTGTGTAATTTGGCTGTTGGGAGCTCAAGTTAATTGAAACTCTTGGGGCAGGGTTAGGGGCTTTTGTTTCAGATCACCTGATGTCAATACTGTCAATGCATTAATCATCCTAATTAATAGTCATCCTTTGGTCTTAGATCTCATTCTCAGAGAAGACTGGGGGCATCTCCCTCAGACGTGGTTATTCAGTGAGCAGATGGTAAGAGGGCCTGTGTTTGTCCCTTCATTTGGGAGGCAAGGGGAGAAGATGGGCCTGAGAGCCTCTTGAAAAGAGGCTGGAGGGAAGCTGTAGATGAGGGACTCATTTGCCACATTGTAGAATGCTATATGTCCAGACTCATAGTCTAAGAAAACACCAACCTTATGCACTGGCTCTCTAACATGTTGACCTTTCAAAGGTGATGAGACCCAAAGACTATAATCATCTCCAATTTTTAAACCTATAAGTGAGAAGAGGTCCCCAGGTGGCTTGGGGAGATTCCCCTTTCTGCTCACTGAGTCCTTGCAGATGCCCACTTCCCACTCGGTCTTGTTGCCCACTTCCACCTCCCAGTAGTGTCTCCCGCAGGTGAAGAGCTGAGCACCCAGCACAGTTGCAGACTGGTCAAATCTCTCTGGGTTGTCAGGTAACTGCTGTCGGATTCCTCCATGTTTCACACTTTTCAGATCCTCAGACAAGACGAGATAGGCATTGGCCGTGGCTGGATCTAGAGTTATATCTGCTGCAAGAGGGAAAAAGAATGAATCCTCATTTGCATTCTTGAAAGCCCTCTTATATATGTGGAATTCAAATTTAAGTCTTAATATCCAGCCCGATTGTTTTTTTCTGATTGCTGTGCCCACTCATCAAGAATCTGATTTAGGATAGGGCCCAGGAATCTAATTTTTAAGAAGCACCACTGTGATTCTAGCAGTCCACTTTTTTAAGATGTAATTTAGGTGAGTATGGTGGGGACTTTTGTTTTGTTTAGAACATTACCTCTGAGCCCCTTCTTTTACTGTTTCACAAAACACAGTGAATTTCTAAAAGGAAACCAGAGTCATGTGGGGAGTGATATTGAATCTCTGATAATGGAATGGACAGGGTTCTGTCTACAAGAGAGTTTTAGAACTCAGAGTTATTTATCCACGTCATCATATCTTTTGTCATTTGCATTTGCTTTAGCCAAGGATGGTTATAGTTCTTCAGTTTGGGTGGGAGAGAAATATAGTTATCACCTACTGAATTCCTACTAAGGTACCAGGCATTTTCTGTACCTTCTCTCATTTAAGCATGGCAAGTATGATTATTTTTTCCATTTTTATAAAAGAAAACTGAGGTCATAAAGGTTAGGAAACTGGGCCAAGATTACAGAGTTACTGAGTGTTTGAATAGCATTCTCCAGTCAGCATTTTTCATTATGTCATGCATGCTTAAATGCAACCTCATGTGAGTTAGTGCAACCACCAGTGATCATTTGATGAAACACATTGTGAACCAGTAAGAGACCTCCTCTCCCAGCCACCTGGGAGGAAGTCACAGAGGAGGACTCTGATTTTCACTGACTGTCCAGACAAGACTAGGCACCCCATCATACCATTTCATACTTCTATTTATAGGTCAGATCCCAACCATCACTAATTATTTGTGTGATTCATCTTGGGCTCCTCAATTTCACTGAAAGTCCTACAAAAGCAAAGTCAAGTCTGTCTTACTCATTTTAAGTATACTCAGAGCCGGATAGCACAGTACCTACTATAGCACATAGTAGGCACTTCTCAAATATCTGTTGCATCCGAAGTCCATTAGGCCTTCCTCTGAAGGTCAGATTTTCAACAAGATAAAAATTGAAAAATAATGTGACCTCTGGGTCTTAGCTAGCCTGAATATATGGGGCATTCTAAAGAGATAGTTCTTTGAATGTTTCTTCACTGAAATGTAAGAGTTTAAGTCAGCTTTTATCCTGACAAGAGCAGAGGTGGAAATGCAGAAACTCCTGAGGAGGCGTGCGTGTGTGCCTATGCAAAGGCATGAGAGGAACAAAACAGAACAATGAAAACAAAGAAGCAGGACTCAGACAGAAAACAAAACCAGATCAAACATCAGTCCAGTCTCAGAGCTTCTGTCTGCTCCAGCACAGAGATGGTCTATGGTCCCAGTTAACTCTGGAAACTCCTGAAGTTTTGACAAATCAGGCTGACTTACTGCTGAATTTTCTCAGCATCTGCCTCATTCCAGTGATGCGGCACAGAGTCAGCTCTGTGGTGGTGGCCTCTGGACACTGAAGCAAGAGAGGCTCACTCCTGCAAGAGGGCACAGACAGTCACTCAGTCTTCTCTGCACAGACTGCATGACCTGTTCCAACTTGAGAATCCAGCTCATTTTGCCCCAGTGGCATGGCCACTAATCCCCACTCTGATAACCTGTTGCATCAGTACCACATCCCTGTGCCTTACACAACTGAACACAATAGAAACCTACCTTTCCAGTATTCCTCTCACATCCTAAGGGCATAAAAGAAAGAAGGTTAGTATTTGTGCACTTTGATCACTCGCAAATCCTAAATCCATTTTGGATAGAATCCTTTGCAGATTTCACAGAATCCACTTCCCATGGCTCTAAAACACCTTGATTAGGAAAATATATGGTAGAAAAAGATCCCCATCTTCTTCTAGGGATGAGTTTTTGTGAATATGAAATGTTTTCTCACAATGACTAGAGATTTCTTTTTCTCATATTATCACCTTGAGAATCTGTTGCTAATAAAGAAACCAAACTATCAGCCTCATTATGCAATGCTTTCAGGAGTAAGAGATAAGCAAAGGAAAGTAGCCCAGTGAGGGCTGTGTTGGACTGGGCTGTTGGGAAGGCACTAAATTAAGTAGAAGCATTCTGTGGAGTCAGTCCAGGAAAGAGACGCCAGGCTGGAGTTGGCTCACATGGCTGATGTTTAAGAAGGTCCCAGGGAATGCGACAGTAGCCTAGGAAGGCAGTGGCGCAAAGATGGGGAGGAATATGGGCTCAGGAGACAGAATACCTGCGTTCTTTCACCTGTTAGCTTTTGGCAGGCAAATTACCTAACTGCCCTAGGTCTGAATTATTAAATAATTGCTACTGTTAAGCCATTTTATACATAACAATCATCTATAGTATGTATCATAATAGTATTTAACTTAATCGGGTCTTTTTGAAGATGAAATTTAATGTGCTATGCACATAGTAAATGCTCATTAAACTTAAAATATTTGGCAAAGCTGAGATCACAGCAAGGCAAACACAAGAAATTGGAGTCACCATCAGACTTGTTTCTGATAGATATTCCTCTGTTTTTTCTCCTCTTCTTCAAGACTTTATACAATATAGAATGTTCATTCTGTAGGAAAACTTTTTTTGGGAACAGAACTTAATTTTTCAGGTAAATAAAGACACATGTATTTTATATGACATGAAATAATGTTAGGTGACTACATGGTTTCTTTCCATTAATTTCCCCAATATCCTTACCTCAAAAGATTCTATAGTTGAATTCTTACACGCGGACTCTGTCTGTTCGATCATTTTGCTTAGGCTTCTCATTTGCTGAGTCAGCTTGATCTCATTGTCCCGCAGTTTCTTCAGGTTGTCTCTTTCCTCCATTTCCAGTAGCTGGAGCTGCAGCTGCTCCTCCTCCTTCAGGAACTGGTGCATTTTTGCATATTCTGACCCAACAACCAGTTTACAAGTCTTTGTCTCTTCCTGCCATCGCACACACATACGCGCGTGCACACACACACATACACACACACACACAAACAACATAATAAAATTAGTAACAGAAGTGCCTACTAGACTTTTAATATTTACGAAGTCCTAGACTTCTATTGTGACAATTCTTGAAACCTGACGCACGACACACACATTCTATTGACTAACTGGGCAGATAGTTTGATATTTTAGCAAGTGTGAGTACTATAGCTATAGTAATAAAGGAAACCAAAATTTCTATTCCTAGGAGGCTATCATTCTGTTGAGAAAAAAACAAACAAAAATATGATAGATGATGATCAATACCATTATTTAAAAAAAAAGCAAAATAAGGACAAAAATGAGGGAAAAAAGCATTCATTCATTTATTCAACAAATATTTTTTCAATGAAAGTAGGCAATGGGTCATATACTAGGAATAGAAATATACGTCATAAATATTCCCATTTAAGAACTCTAGGTTTATTGGGAGAATCAGATACATACTTATTTTTTAACTATCTAATTAAACATTTAGTTCTATGCTTTGCTAGACAGCTCAAATTCAAATCTATGGCCAACTCTGAGCATTTGGTCAGGCATACTAATCCAAATTACTATTTCTCATTTATTTCCTTTTCTCTTAACTTCTTTTTTATTTGCCCTCCCCCCCCCAAATTTTTGATACTCCTTTTTAAATCAATTTCCATCCTATGTTATATGTCTATATGTATAACTGGTATTTTCATGAATTATAATCAGAGCCAAAATAGAGTTAAGTAGGTACATCAAGAAGGGGAAAAACAAGCTGGCCTGGGCATGGGGGAATTGAGCTGGGTCTTGAGATCCCCAGGTGGACAAGCAGAGGCATGCTGCCCAAAGCAAGGATACTGCATGTTGTAGCCCTGGGCCTGGAAAAGTTTGTCATTTTTCCCCTGCTATTTCTCAACATATCCCTGTGTCTATAGAATAGAATCACATAGAAAATGCAAAAGTCAAACAGATACTGACCTTACACAGTATCACTCTCTCCTTCTCATGGGTTAATGTAATCTGAGTTTCCTTTTTCTTTTTACGCAAAATATTTAGGATTTCCTGGAGTTTCTCCTGCAATAGAAACAAATTCTTTGTGGCAAATGAGCAGAGCACCAGATCAGGTAGGGTCTTGAGGACCCAAAACAACAAGATGACTGGGACTCTTTAACAAAGGGTGAAGTGGGACCAGCACCAAGTCTGTAATCTGGTGCTTGGAGATGAGCACCCATGACTGACGCCAATAGAGAATATTATAGGGGTTAAGTTATGGGACCTGATTTGTGTTCTGAAATTTATATTGAGCAACCAGTCTTACTTTGTGATGCTCTTCAGCCTCACTCGAGAGATTCACTCTGTTTATTCCATGACCTTGGGTTGAGAAATCATCTGCGCCCTGCTCATGATCAGACAACACCTTAGTGGCTGCCAGCATTCTCTCATAGCCACCTTGGTTGCCCTCACTCTGCAGCACCTGGGATCTGAGTTGCTTGCCGATGCCAGCCAGCCTCCCCAAACGCTCATTTGGCTGGAAATGCGGGATTTCCAAGGTCCTCCAGCACTCAGGACAAGACAAAGGAGTGTTATGTTCCTCCCAGCTTCTCAGGAGACACACCAGACAAAAGCTATGCCCACACTCGGTGGTCACTGGGCTGGTAAAATAGTCCAGACAGATGAAACAAGTCAGTTCTTCCCTGAGATTCTCCATCAAATCTGCTGTGGACATCTTCTCAAAGAAGGACATCAGAGCAAGATCATGCCTCTATTCTGGGATTAGAAAAATCCTCCCAGAGTGTCTATTGTTTTGAGTAACAAGTAGGTAATCAGTTGCTATGTTGTTATTACAAGAAATTCTTGCTCTCCTCTGTGACTGATTTCACCAATTGACACAAAGCCAATTATGACTTAATGTGGAACTTCTATACACTGTGTTCATCATCAACCCCAAACTTTTAAGGAATCTCACTGTGCGAGCCACAAGCTGGATACTGACGATATATGCCCCAACAGTTCTCACTTGAAGAGTTGGTTATTGTACATAATTAGCACTATGAAACCATTGAAACACACTGGTTTTAGGCTGGAGGGTTGGGTAATTTGGTTTAAGCCAGTACAGAGATTTAAATTACAGTGATCTCTTATAGTATATGAATTGGAGTCTGGTCCAAATCTTTTGGAAAACTTTACTACGGAATCTAGTTGAGAAACTGAAGGAAGAAAATTATAATGTATATTCTTTCTCTCATTGGGTCCTTTTCTTTGCTTGACCAAAGCCTACAAGCTTTTTGCTACTTTATCAGGTTCTGTGTCCTTTGATTTGATTTTATTCACCTCCCCAAATGAAAACAATTCCATTGAAGTATTCCCTGACTTTAGATGCACAATGGATTGTTAGGGTTATATTTATTGCTCTGCCCTGCAGACCATGAAACTCACCTCTCTGCCATCATAGAAAACAGAAAAACAGCATTGTTGCTGGAAGTTGCCTCAAGGAGCCTTTACATTACAGAGTGGATGGAAAAAATTATATTTTATGGCAAATATAATTTTGCTCACTTATTTTCACTCTTTGAAAATGTTTAAACTAGGCCTTATTAAACCTCTCATCACTTCTTACTGGACAGAAATTCAATGTGCAGACATTAGTTTTAGACCCATGAAAAAATAAATGTACAGTATGCAGATGTCACTGTGTACAGTGACCACAAGATTAGCACCAAGTCCTATAAAGTTGCTGTGTCGTATGCTCATAAGTCAGTTCTTGTTATGGCCCGTCCTCCACTCACCGTATGCCAGGAAGTGGAACCTTAAAAGCTCTTCTTCAGAGTCTGTCTAGTTCTGTACTCCCACTTATTTTATCGTACCTTCTTTCTGGTTTTTTTCCTGTCACTCTCCAGTTTGGCAACCTTCCATGGTTCTTCATTACCCGTCTTACCCATGAATTCCTTTCTGACTTTTCGTGGTTCCAACGGATTCTTCTTTCCCACTCATCTCCTACAGGATGTTAAGTGTTTCCTTATCTTGAACTTTTGTCAAAAGAAGTTTTCTGGCTGGAAATGGTTCTTCCTCCACCTTTCTTTCTCCTAGTCAAAACTCATCTTTCTGAAGTTATTAATGTGTTAATCATACATCCTTTGTATAGCATGTGTGAATTATTGGGGTGAGAATTTGCCAGAAAAAGGAAGCACCAGAGCAAAGAATTATACTAGTTTAAGTAGGAAGAGTGGTAACATCAGGTTGGGGTCATGAAATCTCTACTGTTCAGATTGCTCCTAGGCCAGTAACTGGGGGCACAGCTTCAAAATATTCTTAGAAGTTAGTCTCAAATAAAGGTCTTGCAAAAAAAAAACAACACAAACAAGCAAACAAAAACTACAGTATTATGAATTGCCATCACTGGAAAAATAATTTATGAACTACCACCTACATTCAGTATGTTATTCCCATACAAACTCAGGAGTCTTTAACATTGGCCAGGATCATTAGAACAAGCCCCACAATAGGGTTATAGTGCATCACAGAGCCTGTATTCCAATTTGGAATGGGAAGACTGGCATGTTCTAAGTTCAAGCCACACTGATCTGTTCCATCCCACTTCCCTCTTCCAAATTAACTCCTTTCATAAGCTCAATACAATAACCACATCTTACTCATCGATGACTAGAAGAATTCTTTTCACATAGCAAGGGCTCAACTTGTCTGTAAATAAGTTTTAAATGAACAAGTAGGGGAACCAAATTGTTATAGAATCACAGTCTTTTATCTAACTGGAAACCCAGAGGTCATATATGAAGAAACTGACATAAATAAACTGAGTTGGTTCTCTGAATACTTACTTACTACATGAGTCAGGTCAGGGCTAGGGAACTGGGTCTCCTACCTCCCTGAGTCATTCTCTTCTACTGATGCTACACTGCATCTCATTTGTGAGTGGGTGAAAATTTCCAGTTATGTCAATGAAATGAACGGTGCTCAAGTGCTTTGAGAAGGAAATTAGACAGCTGTCATTATGGCATGATTGTGGGACAAGTATCTGAAATTATTGGCTACATTCACTGTTGGGAGTACAGACTTCTTTACCTTCTCTGTGAACACACTGATTAGGCTTAATTCACAGATGAAGAAATTTATAGAGTGGGCCAGCCTTCCCAGAATACATTCTAACAACCCTCACAGCACTACACTGCCAGACATGATTTCTGAGGTCAACAACTCAAATAGCTCCTTCTCTGGACTGTCTCCTCCTGAGGAGGTGACAGTAGGGATACCCCAAGAGGTCCACAATCACAACTATCACTGACATTACAATGAGGCTCAAAACACATAGAAAAGAAGAACCTTAAAGATATGGTGAGGGCTTATTCATTGTTGGAGATAGCAGGCTAGATGGGGACTTATTTGAGAAAGATCTTGCTTGAAAGCCTGGTTTTAAAAATATGTCTTTCATTTCATATCAGTGTGGAAAAGATAGATTATCCAATAAATGGTTTAGGACAAGTTGGAGTCGCCATCTGGGAAAAAAAGTTGCATCTCTACCTAACAGTTTACACCAATGTGTACTCCAGATGTATGTGTGTGTGTGTATTTTCCCCACTCTAGTCATGAATTTCTACTCATAGTATTTCTCTCTGTATTGCATTGCTTTTTTCATTTTATTTACTTATATATTATTTTATTTTTGCATGTGTTATATTTTATATTATCTCACATCTACTTAACAAGTGAGAAGCATATTTGTTAAACATATGGTCAATTATTGCATCTGAAGGATGAAGCACATTATAAGAGGAGATAATTGGTAACACAGTAGAAATTTAAAGTGGATGACTTAGAGAAGGCTTTTTAAAGCGTGCTGTGGAGCTTAGACACTGCTAAGGAAAGATTAAGTTAAAAAGCTAAAAATTAAAGACTTTTATACAGCAAAATAACAAAATAACCAAATAAATGTTTTTAAATGACAGTCTGGGAAAGAGAATTTGGAACAGATGCATCAAATACCCAATCTTAAATTATGAAGAGGTCATAGATAAATATATATGCAAAAATAATAGCTCTTCTTGTGGGTACATAGCCATTAAAAAATAACATACCTGTTTATGTACACTGACATGACATGACATTTGTTATATAATGTTAAGGGGGAGATACATTTTTGCTCTCCCAAATAGTTTAAGTATAAACAAGAAAAATTAGGTTATATATGTATTTTTTGCCTACAAAAATGAGGGCATGCTGTACAGGTTGATAGTGTATCTGTATACACAGAAGCATAGAAAAAGTATGGAATTTCATGGGTATGACACTGAAAGCACAGGCAACAAAAGCAAAAAATAGACAAGTGGGACTACATTAAACTTAAAAGCTTTTGTGCCACAAAGAGACAGCGTGAAAAAGGCAACCAATAGAATACGAGAAAATATTTGCAAACGATTTATTAGATAATGAGTTAATTTCCAAAATATATAAGTAAATTTCACAACTCAATGACAGGCAAACAAACAAAAACCAAAAAAGAGAAAAGTGAAAGAATTAATAACCCAATTAAAATATGGACTAAAGAAGTGAATGGACATTTCTCCAAAACCACATCAGACCAACAGGTATGTATGTAAAAAGATGCTCAAGGTCACTAATTATCAGGGAAATACAAATCAAAAGCACAATGAGATATCACTTCACAACTGTGCCCCGAGGCCTGGGGCCATGTCACCTCCACATTCAGCAGATCGTGTACTTGTCCCATTTCTTCTCGGGGTCGTATGGCTCCCAGCGACTGGCGGGGAAGATGTGCTTGTTCTTCTGGTACCAGCTCCTCAGCACCACCTTGCCGGCGTGCGACTCGTCCTTCTCGACGGTGGCGTCACTGAGCAGCCGCACATCATCGTGAACGTCGAAGTTAAAGAGCGGCCCACTCTTCCCGCGTGCCTTGGTGACAAGGAAGTGATAGAAGCTGTGGTGATGGGGTATGATCAGGTCCTCCTTGATGTACATGAGCTGCTCCACCCCTGCTGACCTGAGCTCACTGAAGTCTTTGCGCAGGATCTCGAGCGCCTTCTGCAGGAACTCCTGCATGGTGTTGCCCTTTTTCATGCTGACTGTCCGCCGGTGCCCAGAGCCGTCCCAGTAACTGAATGTGATTTCCATCTCCTCGCTCTTGATCTTCTCCTGCTTGGCTTCCCACTCCTGCCTTAGCTCTTCTCGGAGCCGATTCTCCTCCTCCTCCCTGTCTCGGTCAGGCAGGAAGCTTGTGTCCACATCTGGGTTCTTCCCCAGCTTCCTCTTCTTTGTGGTGACCGCTTTCCTTTCCAGCTCCTCCTCCTGCTCGCCTGCCTCCTCGTCTTCCTCCAGGGTGAAGGACAGGCTGGAGATCTTCCGCTTGGCCTCCTCCTTGTGCTTCTTCTCTCGCAGTTTCTCCAGCTTGGCTGTAGCTCCTTCAGCTGCTCCTTCTTGGCCAGCTGCTTCTCCCACTCCTTCACCAGTGCCTGCTGCTTTATCTTCACGTCATTCAGGGTCACCAGACCCACCATGCTGGACTTGAGCTCCGCCTCCACAGCATCGTAGTGCGCAGAGAACTTCCTGTCAATGTTGGATTTCACTAGGTTCTCCTGGGCGATCCTCTGCTTCATCTGCTCCATCTGCTCGCGCTGCTTCTCCCGCTTCTTCAGCAGGTGTATGGCGCGGCTCGCCTCGCTCTCGGCCCCCTTGTACTGAGCCATGGTAGTGGCAGCGACCTCGACGGGTGGACAAAAGTCGACTTATTAATAATATGTAAAGAACACTAGTGTCTTAGCCTGGTCTGCTGTGATAAAATACAGACTGAGTGGCTTATAAACATTTAGTGCTCATAGTTCTGGGGGCTGGAACTCTAAGATAAAGCTGCCAGCATGGTCACAGTCTAATGAGGGCCCTCTTCCTGGTTCTCACTGGGCCTTCGCTCAAAGATTAGGAAACTCTGGGGGATCCTCTTTTATAAGAGCACTAACCTCATCATCAAGTCTCCAGTCTCAGGATCTAATCACCTCCCAAAGGCCCCACCTCCTAATACCATCATGTTGGGAGATTAGGATTTTAACACAAATTTGTGTTAAAATCCTAATAATTAATCCTAATTATTAATCCATAGATAAACAACCACCCAGCTGAGTTTCAGGATCTGCAGAGGAGGCCATTCAGTCTATAAGCTCAATTTATCATAACGATTTAATGCTTAGGGGAGGTTTTTAAATCACACAATTGAAGTACTCAAAGATACTATAATATTGTTAGAGTAGGCCTTTGAAAGTATCTTGTGATAAACTGTAATGCAAATTTGAGATGCTTTCTTTTATAAATTGGCCAAAATTTTAGTTAACATGTCATAGAAGTAAAGAAGTATTCTGAAATTTAGCTGTGATTCAAACCCCCAGATCTGTAACTGTCTGTACTGAATGCTCTGGGTCAACTACTTAAACTTGAAATCATCAGCTTTATCAACTACAAAATGTATTGATACCACATATCTCATGGACTGTGGGAAATACATAGATATAAAAAAACTTAGCACACTGTGTAGCATAGTGTGCTATTTATAGCCTTATCTTAAGTTAAAACATATTGTCTTCCAATATGTTTACTTTCTCTAAGAAGGGATTTAGGAGACTCCAGGATGTGAGAATTTTGATGTTTTACCCCTTGATTGAAAGGTTATGATATTTTCCTTTCAAAATGAAATCATATGAATTATGAAACTCAAGAATAAATGACCAAAGTGATTGATAAAATCTTCACAGAAGTTGGTTGCATCAAAGCTTAAAAGAAAAAAGGATAACTGGGTAGAAAGAGAAGGAGGCAGAGGAGGGAGGGACACACAGAAAAGAATGCGATCTACTCAAAGGAGAAGAGGGCGTGGGTGGGGAGTGCTGTTTGAGATAGAGAGAAAGGATATACTTAGGGTGGAACCGGGTTTTGGAAGATCGGCGAGCAAGCCAAAAGAATTTTCTCATTGTCCTGTAAGCATTTTTTTTTTAAACAAACAATTTAAAAAAATGAAACGAAAAGCACTGATGTTTGATCAGCAAGGAATTGACTGATGTAAAAAGCAAAAATGAAAAACCTTCCAGAGACAGAATGTAAAACTAGGGAAGCTCTGCAGATTTTCTTTCCTCTGCGGTCAACCATATCTAAGATTTCTGGAACTGTCCCCTGACCTCCCATTGTGACACATTCCTCAGTCAGGCAGTCATTGCTACTCTTGACTTTCCATCTACAAATAATGCAATGATCACTTCCCTTCAGCAAACATTCTGGAAGCAATGAAATCAGGCACTGTTCTCTAGTGAAACTATTTAATGGCTTAAGAGAAAATGGTATGGCTAAGGAGAGAGCACGATGAGATTCTAGGGTAATGGCTTGTAGAAGAATTTCTTCCTGTGAAAGTGTTACTATATACATGAGGTTCATTAAAGAAAAAAAAACTAATTAAGGGGCTACTATCTGGTAGGCAGTATGTAAGACCTTGGAGATGCAGCAAAGAACAAAATAATCACCCATCCAAAGAGACTGAAACTCCTGCTCAAGGTCCGGGGTTATTCAGTATTTTCTAGGAGCTCATTAAAATGCAAATTAAGACTCCACCCAAGATCTATCCTAACTGACTGTCAGGGTGGGGCCTAGAAATCTGTTTGACTAAACTGTTAAATGATTCTATTGCTACTGAAGTTCAATAACCACTGTTCTAGATTATCATATGGATAGTATTTGAAACCTTAGAAGGTTTCCTGCCTGAAGAAGAAAGGGAGAGAGTGAGGGAGTAGCTAAAACGATAAAAGCTCTTCAGTCTCCATTTCTGGCATTTTCCTGAAAGAAAATACTCAGGATTACAAGGAAAGGTAAGCTTCTCTCTGAAGATCATTTCCTTAATCATGGTTTTCTTTAAATACCTCAACTTGACTCTAGTATTTATGGAAGCTTAAAAAATATATATATGCAATGGTATAAAAAGGGTAAGTGAGAAAGCTAGGGCAAAAAATAAATAAAATTAGGAAAAACAAGATAAGGATAGGTATGAACTTTAGTACATAGATAGCATTTGTGAGACATATTATTCTCTGACTTTCCTTTCTCTTGGTTTCTGTAAAAATATTTCATCTCTATTCTCTGTCCTTCATCAATTTCCTTTGTGCTGGTTTGATTTAAAATTTCAAAAATTATTTATTGAGCATTGTATATGAAAAAAAGATACAAAAAAATAAGATGATTGTGAATGGTGGGAAGGTATTTCAAATTGGGTAATTGCAGAAAGGCCTCTCTGAGGAAGTGATGTTTGAGCTGAGAACTAACTGTAGGGAGGAAAGGAGCTAAAATTGTTGGAAGTAAGCTATAGGTGAGATGCCAGCAGGGGACCAGACTATCTAGAACTCGGTTAAACATTTGGATTTTATCCTAAGTGCCCTGGAAAGTTACTATAAACCTGAGTTAGGTTTTAAAATAGTATTCTGTTTGTTGAGCTGAGAGGAGTTGGAGATGGAACTGGGGCAGGGGAGACTATACACTAGTTGAGATGATGAAATGATGGTGGTTTAAACTATGCTTCTAAATGGAATTTTAGAATGAGTTGGCGTAAGGGAAGATATTATTGATTGAAATCCCAAACAGTGTTACAAATATATTAATGTAGGGGTGCTTACTAGACATTTATTGCAAATGAGTTGGGAGTTCCAGGGCTGGATAAAAGATTAAATTGGACAGTGGTACTCAAACTTTTGGAAGTCAGTGTGATTACCTAGGGAGACACTGTGGAACTGGAATAAGGAAAGGGACTGGAACTGATCCTTGAAGTACCCCCAAAACTTGGAGGTTCAAGAGGATGTGAAGCCAAAAAGGAATACTGAGAAACAGACCAGTAAAGCAGGATGGATGTCATTTACACGATCTTGGTTGCAAAGAGAAGAAGCCATTTTAGGAGAGTCCTGGCCAACTATGTTGATTGCTAAGAGCTTAAGTAAGATAAAGCCAGGAGTGACCACTGAATTTCTAAACTTGCTCATTTTTGTGACTGATCAGTTTTATTTTCAGTCTAGGACATATTTAGGGAGGCAAGACAAGAGATACTACAAGAGTTTGAAGGATTCAGTAAGAAAGAATTGAGGTAAATTCAAATCCAAATGACAAGTAGAGGGAAAGAGTTGCAATTTGTATAATAACAAGGCATAATCTTTTCAGTGTTTAAGTATCTCTTAAAATTAAGAAAAAAGACCAAAACCTGGTAGAAAAAAACAGCTGAAAGGCTAAACATATGATTCACAGGAAAAGAAACAAAATTGGCTCTTAAGAATATGAAAATAATAGCTTTATTTGTAATAAGATAAATGCAAGCGAAAAATAAATAGGGAATATATATTCTTTTACATATCCTTTTCCATTGTGGTTTATTATAGGATATTGAATTAAGTTCCCTATGCTATACAGTAGGACCTTGTTAAAACTGACATTTATTTTTAATATTTTTTAAAACTAACATTTTTATGAAGAACTTTTTCTGAACAATTATTGAGAATAATGACATGGTTTTACAGTCTTGCAAATCTCTTTAATTTCTGGTTTATCAGAAGATGACTATTATGTCTGCTCCAGCATTCTACCTATTGCAATGTTATTTTAGTTGAAGTAGATGAAGAAAATCTGTCCTCACACAAATACTTAGTTGGAAAAGGGGAGATCATTCTAATACTTTTTTCAGATAATTGTTTTTTAATCATATTAATGAACATTTTGTCCTCTGTAACATTAAAATCCATTGGTCTGCCTTATACTTTGAATCCACTTTACCATTGCATAATCTTATAACATTATGCATTGATTGGTCCTTGGAAAATATTGGTTCACTCAGTTTGCAGATTTTCCAAATGTTGACATAATTCATTCACTATGCAATAGCAAAAACTAACATTTACTATCACCACCAATTTCATCAGAAAAGACTAAGTATTGGGAAGCTGTTAAGCTTAGAACAGTAGATTCATGTTTTCCAAGACTCTCATTTTTGCTTAAAAGCTCAAATTTTATCATTGGGAACTAATACTCTCAGTTGGTTTCGTTGAAATGACAGGGTCATTCTGTCCGTGGTTGGGAAAATGTCTTTCCAAATCACTACATCTGAACAAGCGCAGTTTTTCTCATTTGCTCTTTTTACTGAAAGTGTCCTATGGGGGGAAGAAAAGTGGCTAGTATGGCTTGCAACCCAAACAATCATTGAAAGTGCTTTCTTGAGACAACCATTGTTTTTCTATTTGCAGCATAATGCTTTACACATGCTTTCCATCTTGTCACCCAGAGTACTAAATCCTGTACTCAGTGGTTGAGATTTAATATTTTACTATAGCATGAAGAAATAAGAACGTTCTTAAGTAAAACAGGCTTTTGTTTTTAAACTGGGATCATCCAAGTAGGTAGAGATTGTAAAAATACAAGAAATGACTACAGTACTGTTTGGTGCCACTTCCTTGATTAATGGTAAGACACCAGCAGTTTTATCTTCTGTCAGTGCAAATGTCAACACAGTGAAAAGGAAGATCAAGTCTTAGGAATCATCCTTTAAAACTGCTGCTTTAGTATGTACTCTTAACAAGGTAACAGTGTTACCATATATATAAGCATAATTAACTTCAGAATTTAAAAAGTTTTTCACATCTCTTAAAAACGAGTGAAAGGACAAGAGGTCTAGTTGATTTCAGAATCCGGGTGAAAGTGAGAGCATGAGAAGCAGGAGAAGCTAGTAAATCCAGAAATGGAAGCTTGGGGATTCTGCAATCTGTCAGATCAATTCCTTTCAAGAGATGTTGTCAAAAGAGCTGGTTGATGAGAGGAACTGGGGACAGATGTAAATTAGATGTAAATTTTGAGAAATTAATACTTGGTGTTATGCTGCCACCCACCAATGGCTAGAGATAGGGTTAGACTAAAGCAATTCTTTATTGGGAAAGAGTTTCCCAAATTCAGTAGGTAATACATTTTAAGAATATAGTTTAAATATTTCTAGAGAACAGGTAGAATTGTTGCTCAAAGATAATCAGAATTGTCTGGAAATGGAGACGTAGATTATAGACCCCTTGTTCTGTTACCTTAAAATATATATCTATATGTATAGATTTACATGTACATATGTACATATAAATATATTGTTTCCCTTTAGTATTTTTGGAAAGGTTTTATTTATTTTGGGGGCATTTTTATCTATTTGCTTAACAAACATCCTTTAACGGCCAGGTCTCCGATGAGACTTGCCTTAGGCTTTAGGCGCAAAACTTGCGTTGCCTCACAAGCTCCTGCGCACCTAGAGAGCACGAAAGTGAGCGCCTCTTAGGCATGCGCCTAAGGAGCCCGGAGGTGAGTGCTTCTCGGGCATGCGCCTAAGGAGCCCGAAAGTGCGCGCCTCTCAGGCATGCGCCTAAGGAGCCCGGAGGTGAGTGCTTCTCAGGCATGCGCACCAAAGGAGCCAGAAGTGCGCCTCCCCTCTCATTTAAGGAAGCTCTCAAAAAAGCCCTCACTTTCTGGCTCCTGCAAGCACTGGGAGAGTGAGTGGTTCCTTAAATTTGCGACCTGACTGCCATGGCCAGGCTCTGCCTCCCCTCAGTCGGAGAAGTTCCTCCGCTTCTCCTTCCCACATTGTACCTTCCACTGAGCGCCATTTTCTTTAATGACTTAGAAGGAAGTATTATGCTATGTTGTCACTTGTAAATAATTTTCAACCAGTTTCTTGAAATTCTCAGAAAACTTGGGACAGCTCCTCTAATCTTAGAATGCTGGTGTAACTCGTTGTGTCTCCTTACTCAATCACGTGGCTGCTGAAGCTTTGCTGGATGTGAGTCCGGGATACGCTGACCTGCTCCGACGTGGACTGAGATTGACAAGTGTGCCTGCCCCGGAACACCGCCTCTCTTTTACTAGTTCAGAGTGCCGGGAGGTGTTCCACATCAGAAACAGCCCAGTCTTCAACTAGGGCCACCTGCCGGGATGTCTAAAAGGCTCCCTTCTCAGTTAGAGCAAAAAATCCCAGAAGATGCCTGCTGTGAAAAACACCTGGAGCCACCACAGCTGTTCTGCGGTGATGACCAAATGATGCTTTGTGACAAGTACTTCCAGTCCCAGGAGCACAAGACTCACACGGTGTATGGATTACAAGAGACTGCTGAGAATTACAGGGTAAGCTTCATGCAGATCCCAGAGCCCTGTGTCACTCTGGCTGCCTCCTCTTATTTATTACCTTATTTATTTGGGGGATAGATATTCTGATCCTCCAAGACCATTTCCCTAGTTGATATTTATCAAAGAATACTAAACAGTTACCAAATGTGGACCTTCAACTTCGAGGTGATGAAAACATAGTCAGGGCTTTTGGCCTTTCAGTCGTCTAAGGTTAGGGATCTAACTGTTGCAAAGCAATTACTTTACCTGGAATTGTGATACATTTCTCTGCAGAAGTTATTCCAGGAGATATTGACCACACTGAAGGAGAAACTTGAAGTAGCTAAAAGCATGTTGGCTGATGAGCAAGAAAGAATGGTGATGATGCAGGTCAGTGCTTGATTCTTAGGGGGAAATTACCTATAATGTTGCATAGCACGTAACATAAATACAATCAAAAGACAAATGACAAAGCAGGGAAAAGTATTTTGAATCCATAAGTAGGAAAAATGTTAATTCTTAACCAATAAAGAGCTCTTAAAAGTCAATAAGCAAAAGACTAGAAACTCAATAGAGAAATGATCAAAGACATGAG